CAGTCCTTTGTGAAGCGCTAGCCACTGCTGTATTCATATCAGCGCCACGCGGTCCTTTGTGAAGAACCTTATATATCTGTTTTATTTCTGGTCTCAGAAATTTTCAAAATTACTTTCGCGACCGACCAAAAAACACCTCGGCTTCCGTCAATTTTTGGCCGATCAAATTTTTGGCCTCTTATCCAGAGCCATAGGAGTTCGACGTCTAATTGTCTTCGGTTGAGGCTGTGGCGTTCGCTGTTTCCATCGCGTAACGTCAACTTCCGACAGTTACGACCGTGCGCCATTAGTTCCGGTCTCACGGTCAAGTTCAAGGTCAAGTACTGGCGGAGGAAAAGCTTTCAAGGCACTATTCCATGTCAGCCACTCCCGCTCTGGTCGACCCTTCCTCCCCCCCCCGCCGTTTTTGTGGGCCCCACGGACCACTAGGGACCGGCGGTGGCCGTGGCTGATGTGTTTTTGCCGTGACTCTGTGGTGACGTCAGTGAGTGAGCATCGCCTTTGGATGGGGTCGTTTGCGTTGTGGTGCAGGGGTGCAATTACTTCTATGTGATTGGGAGGACAACTCATGATTGGGGGTCAGATTGAGATTTTGCGTAACACTCTGGCTTTGAAATGACACATTGAGTGGGAAAAAAACATGAAAAACTTGTACTCTACGGGCAAAGTTAGAAGGGACCGAACACGATTTTGTAAAAATTGGAGGACACTCTCCTAGCTCCTGTTCCTGTCCCCCCCCCCTCCCCAGTTGTTTCACCGGTGGTGATATTCCCGGTGCGGTGGTCAGCAGTGACGTCACAAAGGCCGTGTTTTGCCGCCGCCGCGGCGATGTTTGCCGGCGAACGTTTTTTACGGTCGACGTCTCAGCCATTAGCGGTTGTCGCTGCTGACGCGGCCGCGAGGCGACGCCGGAAATATTGTGACGGCGCTGCGGCTGGGGACGACCCGCCTCCAGGCGACGGTGTGAGTGTTTTGACGGTGCGAGGCCTCGGGCGGTGGTTCAGGGCTCGTGTCGCAGCGCTCTCGGGCGCCTCCTGAACGCAGGCTTTCGTTGTGTGACTGGGATGCAGGGATCTGATATGATCTGATGTGACTCCATGCAGGGATCGCTGGCGAATGACCCAGCCGCGTCCGTGTCGCTGGCGCCTGGCCCGCAGTATGCCCGTCATCCGTCCACCCGTGGCGTGTCGCTGGCGCCTGGCCGCAGTATGTCCTTCATCCGTCCACCCGTGGCGTGTCGCTGGCGCCTGGCCGCAGTATGCCCGCCATCCGTCCACCCGTGGCCTGTCGCTGGCGTCTGGCCGCAGTTTGCCCGTCATCGGTCCACCCGCGGCGTGTCGCTGGCGTCTGGCCGCAGTATGCCCGTCATCCGTCCACCCGCGGCGTGTCGCTGGCGCCTGGCCCGCAGTATGTCCGTCATCCGTCCACTCATGACGTGTCACTGGCGCCGGATTGGCCTGAAAACCTTTTCGTGTCGGCCATCTTGTTCGATACGGATGCTCGCCGGTGGTTCCTGCACCGCAGGTGGAAAGCTACCTATGACGTCACTCAGACCGGCGTTACTCTTTTGATGTTTCGGTCACGTTGCGCCGTCTTGGGTATTTGCTCCAGTCATGCGGAGCTGAGTCGTCGAAAAGATGAAAATAGTGTCGCGTCACGTGGCAGTTTTTCATACGACGCTTTGTATTAAAACAGTTGTTTGTGCTTAAGAAAGTATCTTCATGTTCCGGTATTAACAAGTTTCTGATGGGTCTTTTTTGTTGTATGTGTCTTTGCGATCTTTTTTCTTTCTTTTTTTGATCGTATTCTTTCCTAGCACGACGGCTGCAATTTTCTGAGCATTTCATCGCCCCCTTGATTGCCAGTGGTCATTGTGGGAATCGATAGGGAAGTCTGCATGCGACTGTCTCACGTGTCTGTCTTGCTGTCTTACGTCATTTAGTCTGGACCGTGGCGTACATGCATAATACGCTTCCCCGTAATGAGACTTCGGCGTGCAAATAGAACTATTAGCGCTAATCAATACAGTGGGTAAACATCCCGCCCTATTATCGTTGAATGTATGGGCGCGTTTGCCAACTGACCTGGCCCGGTAATGACCTGGAGGGCCATAAGTCCTGTTTGCCGTGTTGCGTCACGTTTGTCGCGACACCCACGCGACAGCACGTCCGCCGGAAGCGGGAATGGTCGCCGCAGGCAGCCGCCGCGTCCCGATGTGTGTGGACTAGTGGCGGCCGGTGCCTGCCCTGGGTCCCGGAGCGCTCGGACAGCGGCCGACTATCGGTGCAGAAGCCCGCCGTTCTAGTTTGGAGCTAACTGGGTCGCCGGCTAAAGTCGTCTTCACATGTCTTGCGTGGTGTTTTTCTTTAAATGTGGTATGGCGTTTTGAAACAACAATTTATTTGGTCGTGAGTGTTTTTAGCGTTTCAGGCTTTTCCAGCGCAGCGTTTCCGGACACGTATTTTTAACGTCTTGACATATTCATCGGTTGAAACAGTTGCTTAGAACTCCGCACAATTCCCGAACATAGTTCGTCAGGATTGTGCGAAATCCATAATATTGCATCATTCTTGAAATCGTGTCATGCAGCAGTCCTTAAGAACGTTTTTGCTGGCGTATTCAGGTTTGCGTTCGCTTGGACCGACTGCTCAGGGCCAGCCAGGCCATCGCCATGATCGATTCAACCTGTCAACTGAAGACCTCCGTCGTCGAGTAGAGCGCTGGCCAAGACCTTCGATTGCACAGCCCTGCAAGAATTCCGCGGTCCGGCGTGCCCGCCGCTGTGGCTGGCGGACACGGTCCGACGTGCTCGCCGCTGCTGCCGCCGGACACGGACCGACGTGTCCGCCGCTGCGGCCGGCGGACACGGTCTGACATGTCCGCCGCTGCGGCCGGTGGACACGGTCTGACGTGTCCGCCGCTGTAGTTGGCTGACACGGTCCGACGTATCCGCCGCTCCTGCCGCCGGACATGGACCGACGTGTCCGCCGCTGCTGCCGCCCGACACGGTCCGACATGTCCGTCCTTGCCTCCGGCGGATACGGTCTCGTGTCCGTCGTTGGGGCCGGCGGACACGGTCTCACGTGTCCGTTACTGCGGCCGGCGGACACGGTCCGGCGCCGCTGCCACCGTCGGACACGGTCCGACCGCTGCGCAGCGTCAACGGCGCCCACATAAAGCGGGGCGCCGTTTGCCGGAAACGGGCGTCGCAGTGAGCTGGGTATCGACTGCCGTTGGGTCGAAGTGGCGTCGGGCGGCGACCCGCCGGCCGGGCAGCGCAGGACGCCTGGGGCGTGCCCGTCGGGGTCGCGTGAAGGGAGATCGGCCGTTTATGGCCTCGCCTGCTGGTACCCTGGCTAAGACTCGACTAGTGAAGGGCGGGGCGTTGATTTGTTTGATCGCTAGGATTGTACGTGGGAGGGTAGCGTTGAGCCCAGCTAACTTGCTGCAAACCCGAGGGTTTGTGTCCCCTTATTCGTCTTCAGTTGCGCCAGCAGTTAGCTTCCGGCTTGATATGTTGCTGATAACGTCTTAATGTAAGGTACCAGTGGTCTTGTCCACGTGTTGGGCTTTCGGGACTACAACCTCAAAGCACCATGTTAGGACTACAACCTCAAAGCACCATGTTATCCCCTGATAAATGATCAGAGAAGCCACCGGCGTAGCTCTTTTCATACATGATTTGGTTCCGTCGCATTACACAGGCACCTAATTGGATTGTGCGTGCAATAGGACACACAGCTGGTGAATTTCGTGGTGGGTTTTTCGAAGTAGCTGATACACACTATTCCGGAAACGTTTTTGTTTTATCATGATACGTAAAGTCGTCATGTTACGGTCGTGCGTCAGGCTCCATTGGAAGAAAGCGAAGTATCGTAAACGCGAAATGACGAAAATGTACATGATAATGAAACAAGACCGCCTCCGAGCTAACAAAAACATACCGTATTTTGATAGGTATGACGGCAGACCGCTATTCCGCTCCAGTTTATGCCATTTGTTGAGGAGATCCGATTTGGCACCAATCAGGTTGCTGTCTAATAGCGCTTACGCGAAAAGGGCTGATGTGGACCGCCAACGCACGGAGCTCGCGCTGACACCGAAATAGACAAGAAGGCCCCACGGGGTATCCCTCGTTGGCCGCCGTTTCTGATGACTGTTGCTTTTTCTGGTAGCTACGTCTGTATCCTATAGCTTGCGAAGTATCTGACGTTTTAGGGTAATGCCACTTGCGTGACGCTAGTACACTGCTACCATGACACATGGTAGCAGAGTACTGGTACATTAGTGTGTGTTCATGGCACATATACATGGTAGATTAGAGTACTGGTACATGTATGTCATGTACATGACGTACATGACACCAGTGCTGGTACGGGTATCCTGTCAAGTGCCGGGAGCAAAGCCTCTACCGTTTAGGACGGTACACAGGTGGGTGACAGTGGCTACTTACGTAACCCTCGAATTACTTGGCGTGTCCCGTGTTACGGATGTATCTCCTACGTTACGTGACGCTTCCCTGTGCTACGTTGTGCATTTCCTCCATTGCGTGACACTTCTCTTGCGCTGCGTCACGCTTCTGTGTTACGTGCCGCCTATCGTGTGTTACGTGACGTCTCCCCTGTGTTCGTCACGTGTCTCTTGCGTTTCTTGACGTGTCTCCTGCGTTCCCTGACGTGGATTCTGTGTCAGCTGATTTGGCTTCCTGCTCAGTTGATTTGTCCGCTCTGCTCAGCTGATTTGTCTGCTCTGCTCCGCTGATTTGTCTGCTCTGCTCAGCTGATTGGGCTGATCTGCTCAGCTGATTGGGCTGCTCTGCTCAGCTGATTGGGCTGCTCTGCTCAGCTGATTGCGCTGCTCTGCTCAGCTGATTGGGCTGCTCTGCTCAGCTGATTGGGCTGATCTGCTCAGCTGATTGGGCTGCTCTGCTCAGCTGATTGGGCTGCTCTGCTCAGTTGATTGCGCTGCTCTGCTCAGCTGCTGTCATTATCCATCGGCAGTGTGGAGGCCACGTGGAGGCTGGGCCGCTGGGAGGATCTGGAGTCGGCCCTGGAGTCGGCGCCACTCGACTCCTGGGGTGCTGGAGTCGGCTGCACGCTCCTGCACGCGGGTACGACCCCTCCTGGAGCGAAGAATGCACGCCTCTGTGCAGCCTCAGGAGGGCGCAGAACCCTGCGCCAAACAAGCGGCCTGCTGTTAGCAGAAGCTGCTCATGGCGTGGGCGTGGTGCTGCCGCAGCCATTTTGCACTGGCTGATCATTGGGGCTGCGTTCTCGCACAATCCCACGCAGGTTGTTATCGCTGGTGCGACTGGGACTTGGGATCGGATCGCCAGAATAATAGGGCGAACCGCAGCCGTAGCCGGCAGCCTTGGGTCACGTACGCTGGTGTGGCTCTACCTGCGGTGGGTTGTGTGGGGGCATCGGGAGCGTGGGTAATGGACTCGCGTGGAAAAAGAAGCCAGTACGCTAGTGATTAGTCACGCAATCGTACTGCGATCTTTGTGTGGGAGCTTGTTAAGCCGATGTTGGTGTTCCATTGACCCGCTTATGTTTAGTGCCTGTACGCCGCCGAGTGCCTCACTGGTGGCAGCAAACCTGCCGGCCAGTGACGTTATGAAATACACACAAAAGTGGTGTTGAATACGTGTGCGTCATATTGCGAATGCAAAGTTATCAAAATAATCAAGCATTTCATGTTGGCTGGCGTTCTTGTTGTTTTTGTTTCTTGTTTCTTGGTGCCGTTGCTTTTTCTGTTTTTGTACTATCGAAACCATTCAGAACGCCCCACTGCGATGTCTGATTATCGCGGTACTTCTTGTCAGGAAGTAATGCGTGCGTAAGCTCGTGCGTATGGCAGCGCGACCGTATGTCGATGACCAATTTCCGCTTCCGTGACAGACCGGCGGCAGGCTGCGGAGTTTGAGCGCATGCTGAGCTTCTGTCGGGAACAAGAGATGGCGCCACTGTGCGCTGCGGCGCTGGAAAAGGACAGTTACGCGAGAGAGTATGACCACCTGGTCAGGTGAGCGCCGTGCACGCTGCACGTGCGGTTTACGACGCGTCCTGAAGGCCTACGTTGAACGATCTGTCGAGTTCGCGTCGGTTGTTCGTTATCGTTTGACGAAACAGAATGCAGGACATCCATCCCGACATCCCAAAAGTGCTCAGATTGCTGTTGATTGGGATGGTCATTAGGCTGAGTAATGAACGTAATTGTTCCGCTGCGCTTGACCCGTCGACGATAGTTTCAATGCCTCTAAAATTATTCCGTCAGTTCACCACTTCTTCTGCTTGGCTCCTCTTGCTACAGCTGGGGCGGCGGACGTTATGGGCGGCGCCGGCTTCTGCTGAAAACCGAGGTTGAGCTGCCTGTGGCAGGAATCGAACCCCAGACCTCTAGATCCAGGGCTCAAACCCTCAAGCAGACCACTTTGTGACTTGCTTGTGCTGCTTTCTCCTCCCAGTGTATCACTGCTCTGATCTGCCACTGTAATTACCATGTTTCGCCTATCGCGGACGAGTTCCGCCCCCTCACCTGTAACCCGGTACTGCACCTTCGGTGGCCTGACCTGACCTGACCTGACCTGTGCGGCTCAGGCTGCACATTCTCAGCGACATGGAGCGTTCTCTGCCGGCGCTGCTCTGGACCGAGGGAGAGCCGGACCCGACAGAGGAGCTGGCCGTCTGGCAGAGCCGGCTGGAGACCGTGCAGTCGGCCGTCCGCACCCTGGAACCGGTCAGCCACCGAGCAGGGTCGTGTTCATGGAGGGCAAGGGTGGGGCCAGGAAGCACAGGGGCGGGGCCAGGAGGCACAGGGGCGGGGCCAGGGAGGGCAGGGGCGGGGTCGGGTCTGGCCGTCTGGCAGAGCCGGCTGGAGACTGTGCAGTCGGCCGTCCTAACCATAGAGTCGGTCAGCCACCGAGCCGGAGCAGGGATGGGACCAGGGAGAGCAGGGGCATGGCCAGGCGGAGCAGGGGCGTGTTCAGGGAGGCCAGGGGGCGTCTTCAGGGAGACCAGGGGGCGTCTTCAGGGAGGCCAGGGGCGTCTTCAGGGAGGCCAGGGGCGAGGTGTAGTCCGTTCGTCTGAAGGGTGTCACGTGTTCTGCGTTGCTGTATCGTGGGTGACGTGTGTCAGGCGTTGAAATGTCACGTGATGTACATCAGTGTGTCACCTGTCATGAAAGTGATGGAAGGTGCCTCGCATTAATACGTCATGTAACTGATGCATGTATACCGCGTTGATGTGTCACAAATGTGTGACGGGTGTTTACCGTGTGGTGTGGGCAGTGTGCCGGCATTGACGTGTGTCGGAGGTGTGTGCTGGATGGCTCGTGCGTGTTCTGTGGGGGCTTAGAGTACGGGACTGGCATGGACCGGAATGAGTTGTCCGGCTTGTCTCTGGGACGAGCTGTGAGGTACGGCCGTGTGAACAAGTGTCCGGCTGAAGTGAAGTTAAGTGAAGTGAGGCTTCAGTCTGCGGGAGTTGCGCCGGATTAACCGGGATCACAGCGAGCAATCTCCGGGAGGGTAGTGGCAAGCACAATCCGCCTCATTTAATGTAACTGGGGCTTTAAGATATCGGTACCGCTCTTCCAATGGTTTCGCGGCCAAGTGTCAGGTACCGTTAAGGTTCGGAATCTGTCCACGTTCACGGTCATTGACACCCGTGTCACAGTGTACCTGACCTTGACTTGACCTCGCCTCTCAGTGTCCACTGCACTGTTTCCCACACACGATACCAGTGTGGCATCGCTTGCCTTGCCTCCTCAGTTCTCACGCCGTCCGGTCCGACATTGACCACGCACTGCACCGGCCTGACCTGACCTGACCTGACCTAACCTGACCTGACCTGGCCTGACCTGACCTGCGCTCAGGTGCTGACGGCTCGGCGGGCGGTGCTGACGCTGGCCAGGGACCGCCTCCGGGCCCGCGGCAGTCCGGCAGCGCAGGTGCTCGACCTTCAGATTGGCCGCTGCTGGCTCCGCAGCGCTCGGGTCTCGCGCCAGTAAGGCCCGCCCCGGGCTGTCGCTGTGACATCTCGGCTTTCGTTTTGTTGTTTATTGGTGTTTTTGGTTGCGCCAACTTCAATGGTCATTTTGCTCCCAACCTTGGCTTTCTTAGTGACACGTGCTGACATTTTTGGTTAGTGCTTCTGTCATATGGGCGCTTAGACATTTGCAAATGCAGCAGGCATTTTGCATGATGTTAGCATCGTCTTTGCCGTACCTTTCGCTGTATTTTTACCTGCGCAACTACTTGCAGGCGTGTTACTGGAACCGTTATAGCTGATTCGTTTGTGGAATCGTCACGGTCTACGAATGTACCTACTGCAGAAGTGTTGGGCTCCAGATTTCACCCGATTGGTATTGCTGACCTGGGTTAGCGGCGTCACTTTGATGGTAGCAATTCAGAGGTTTATGTGTTTTGCTCCCCCTCAAAACCAATCGCCCAACCCCCGAGTGTAGGCCTCATTCTAACGCGCCGAACGGTCTCGTTTTACCTTGCCAGTGTCGCGTTTGGACGTCGCGCAACCCTGCCGCTATGGCGTCTTCTCACCCCATCGAGCCGCTCCACGGTTTCGTGTCTCTCTTCGAAATGACGGAAGCGCGCGCCATCCGCCGTGTGACGCCACGTCTGATGACATCACCGCAGGGCGGGGCAGCTGCAGCGGGCGTCCAACTGCCTGCTGCAGCTGGAGCGACTGGAGCGCTGCCTGCCGGAGGCGTTCGTAGAGCGGGCGAGTCTACTGTGGCGTCGAGGGGAGGGCGACGGTGCGATACGTGAGCTTCGCCAGGGCATCGAGAGTCACTTCCCCGACTGGACGACCAAGATCAAAGGTGAGGGGGTCAGGTCAGGGGTGAGACGACCAATTCAGGGGTGAGGGAGTCAGAGCACAGACGAGAACGACGGGGTAAAGGTGGAGATGCAGATCAAAGGTGACAGTGCTGTGGCAAAGGCGAGATATGTCGAGCCCTGGTGACCAGTGGGATGGTCAGAGGTGAGAGCCCTGGTGACCAGTGGGATGGTCAGAGGTGAGAGCCCTGGTGACCAGTGGGATGGTCAGAGGTGAGAGCCCTGGTGACCAGTGGGATGGTCAGAGGTGAGAGCCCTGGTGACCAGTGGGATGGTCAGAGGTGAGAGCCCTGGTGACCAGTGGGATGGTCAGAGGTGAGAGCCCTGGTGACCAGTGGGATGGCCAGAGGTGAGAGCCCTGGTGACCAGTGGGATGGTCAGAGGTGAGAGCCCTGGTGACCAGTGGGATGGTCAGAGGTGAGAGCCCTGGGGACCAGTGGGATGGTCAGAGGTGAGTGCCCTGGTGACCAGTGGGATGGTCAGAGACGGTGGCCTGGCTAACCAGTTTGATGGTCAGATGTGAGAAGTGTGGGTTGGCGGTTAGAGGACGAGGGTATTGTTAAGACATAAAGAAAGACATGTGGCTGACAAAGAGCGACAAAAGTACATCGCTGTTGGCCTACGTCAGGTTTCGCACACATCCTCGAAACTAATCTTACCACGTGAACTGCATGAATTTAGCTGGAAATGAGATCTTGAGACCGGCAGAATTTGTGTAAGCGGTTTTTAGATATTGCTACAGAGGATTTTCCCATGACTTCATTTGTCCGCCCATCCAAATGGTTCGCTACTCTTTGACTAAATGACATCTGCATCTTCATAGTCATACTCCTTTCTTTTGTTAAATGTGACTGGTTTCCTCTGTGCGTCAGCCTAATTTCCAGTGCTCCGTGTAGATCTACGGGCCCAGATATTGCTGAGAGGGCCCAGGCAGGGGTGAGGACGCAGGTGAATGATACCCGATGGGCGGATGTAAGCGATACATTGACTGATGAGGAGATCAGGTGTGATGCAAGTATAATTGTGATTGAAAGGATTGAATGGAGCTTTATCTTTCTAAGGCGGAGCAAAGCAGAGGTCGTATGAAGATGGTCGTGGCAGATCCTTATGCGATAGATAATGTATTGATTACGTGAAGCACTCATTGAAAACGTTAACTCAGTGACAGCAAATCCGAGCAGAGCAGCTCATATGTAATATTTCTTCATCATACCTCGCCCACCAAGTCGACCCGAGGTCCACCATCTGACGTCACTCCTCTGTCCGTGTGACATCACTCCCCTGTCCGTGTGACGTCGCTGCCCTGCCCGTGTGACGTCACTCCTCTGTCCGTGTGACGTCACAGGCGGCGGCTTGGCCGAGTCGGAGCGTCAGATTCTGGCGGAGGCCAAGCTGCTGCTGGCGCGCTACTGCGAGGAGTCGGCCAACATGGACAGCAACGTCATCAACCAGCACTTCGTCGAGACGACCGAGGTGGGAGCCCGCGCTACGCCGGTGCCGGGGTGGAAACCGGGCGCCGTGTGTGTGGAAGGAAGGCCTGTGTGCGTTATGATTTTGATGGTCCCCCCCCCCCCCCCCCACAACCCAAACACAACTTAAGACAGTCGTCATCAATCGGCAACCCAACGGTGGTCTGAGGCGTTGCCGTTTTGTGTTCGAGTGTTGCGGGTAGCGGCGGACAGAAGCAGTGCGAAACACGTGCTGTAACGTTGAGTAACGTCGCATGTACTGAATGTGGTGGCCTGTTTCCCGCGTGGATCGCGGGTAGCACTTCGTCGGGCTGGATCGGCTGCGTGCCTTGTCACACATATTAACCACCAGCGAGCTGAGCCTCGAAAAGATGCGCAGAAACGTGAAACTGACCTTACAGTGCGTCCCCACGACGCTCCCGCCGTGACCTCGCTGCCAATATGACCCAGCAGCGTGACCTCGTCGCCGCCACGTGACCGTCACGTGTTTCTCTCCGGTGTCAGATCCGCAAGGACTGGGAGGACGTCCACTTCTACACGGCCAAGTACCTGGACCGGCTGCTGGCGGCGCGACTGGCCGGCGAGCGGGACTCGAACCAGCTGGGCGCCCGGGTGGTGCACGCCCTCGGTACGGGCCGGCGGGATGGTGCACGCCCTCTGTACGGGACGGCCGGGTGGTGCACACCGTCGGAACGGGCCGGCGGGATGGTGCACGCCTTCGGTACGGGCCGGCCGGGTGATGCACGCCCTCGGTACGGGCCGGCTGGGTAGTGCACGCCCTCGGTACGGGCCGGCCGGGTGGTGCACGCCCTCGGTACGGGACGGCCGGGTGGTGCACGCCCTCGGTACGGGCCGGCCGGGTGGTGCACGCCCTCGGTACGGGACGGCCGGGTGGTGCACGCCCCCGGTACGGGCCGGCCGGGTGGTACACACCCTCGGTACGGGACGGCCGGGTGGTGCACGCCCTCGGTACGCGCAGGCCGGGGTGGTTGCACGCCCTCGGTACGGGCCGGCCGGGTGGTGCACGCCCTCGGTACGGGCAGGCTGGGCGGTGCACGCCCTCGGTACGGGCCGGCCGGGTGGTGCACGCCCTCGGTACGGGACGGCCGGGTGGTGCACGCCCTCGGTACGGGACGGCCGGGTGGTGCACGCCCCCGGTACGGGCCGGCCGGGTGGTACACACCCTCGGTACGGGACGGCCGGGTGGTGCACGCCCTCGGTACGCGCAGGCCGGGTGGTGCACGCCCTCGGTACGGGCCGGCCGGGTGGTGCACGCCCTCGGTACGGGCAGGCTGGGCGGTGCACGCCCTCGGTACGGGCCGGCCGGGTGGTGCACGCCCTCGGTACGGGACGGCCGGGTGGTGCACGCCCTCGGTACGGGCCGGCCGGGTGGTGCACGCCCTCGGTACAGGTCACCAGACGGCTGGCGCGGCTCGTCCGGCCGTGTGCAGGCGCCCTCCGGCACACCGCTGTGACCCTCTGACCCCTGGGACCCGTGGCCACACCTGGCCGTTTGTTCTGTGTGTCGGCGACCTGTGGCGGTGAGACCATCTGACTTGTTTGTGCCGTGTGTTCAGGATGAACGACGCCGCAGAGTTACTAATCTCCGTTTATCGTGGAGCGTTTGTGTCCGGACTTGCGTCGAGACATTACAGTCTGATTCCCACCTCGGTATCCTGCGGCCGGTCGGTCGGGCTCCCCCGGCGACTGTGACAATAGCAACGGACGCAGCTCTGTGCCGTGATGTGACGTCATAAGTTGGGCCAGCACGGCGTGCATTGCTACCGGCGCCGATCAATCAGTGGTCGCCGATCATCGATACCGATCGGTGATTGTTGTTTCCCGTCGCGACGGTCCGCGGAATAGTCCAGAGCCCGTATCATTTTGATCGCTATTTTGCCTGTCTGTTCTGTTTGTGCCTGGTGTGAAGCATGTGAGGGTGATGAGCTGAGTGGCAATGTGACCTCTGACTTGTGTGTTTGCCTGTATGTGACCTTTGGACAGGCCGTGACCCGTGAGCTGTGCTGCTGACCCGTGGGATGTAGTGGTGTGCTCTCCGACCCCTGACCTGACCTCAAGCACCTGATCTGATCTGACCTCTGGGGCATCTGACCTGATCTGTGAGGTATCTGATTTGGCTTTTGAGGCATCTGACCCGGCCTTGAGCCATCTGGTCTGACCTGTAAGGCATCGGACCTGGTTTCTGAGGTATCTGACCTGACCTCTGAAGCATCTGACCCGACCCTTGATGCATGTGACCTGACATCTGAGACATGTGACCTGACCTCTGAGGCCTGCGACCCGACTTCTGAGGCATCTGACCTGACCTCTGAGGCATCTGACCTGACCTGGGAGGGATATGACCCAACCCCCTGAGGCGTCTGAAATGACAGTGGCATGTCACCCGACAGGCAAGTCCTTGCAGTACGGCTGTCAACATGTGTACGAGTCGATGCCGCGACTTCTCAGCATCTGGCTCGACTACGGCGCCCAGGAGAGCGGCAGCAAACAGCGACCCGCTGACGCCGCCCTGGTGGCCAAGGTGAGAACTAACACCCTCGCCCAGAGGAAGGACGCCAAACCGTGGCCGTCCGCCGCCGCCCGGAGGGCTAAGGTCAGAACCAGTGGACGCACAGAGGCTGTGGTGATGTGATGAGAGTTTAGAGATAATGTAAATTATCGATAGCTAGTTTCCGACTGCAACCAATGAGTGTACCCCCCCCCCCCCCTGCAGGGGCGCAGTTTGACTTACACGTCAAACTGCTTCTGCAAACTTGTGATATATCTCCTCTCGAATCACCCATCCAGCAAAGAGCGGACCTTGCAACGTATCATGAGGCGCGGAGCTCGCGCCCCGTGATTCGCGACATCACTATTATTTGAAAATGGAGCATGAAGGGGGTAGCATTTCCAATTGTGGCGTCTCGTCAGGCGTATCGTGGCGGATTACGGTGCAGGGTGCCGTACACTCCCCTGGTTGGGATATCATAATGCATTGCACACATGGACTGTGTGCAATCCTTTTGACAATTTAAAAACGTTTTTCTGTTGTCCTTAACTCATGATTCACCAGTTCTGCAATCTAATGCCACCACATTCTGCCGCCGCAATTGATAGACCTCTGACCAGCTGATCTCTTAGCTGATATATCTCCGACCAGTTGAAATAGGTCTGACTAGCTGATATCTGTCCAGCTGATGTACTTCTGACCAGCTGATATCTCGTGTGTGCGGAGCTGACGTGAGCGTGAGACAGCTGTGGAGACCGCCCCCCCCCCCCCCCTGACACCTCCCGGGCCGCCTGTGCCGGCAGAGCGTGGAGCTGATGTGTCACCGCGTGGGACAGCTGTGGAGACCCCCCCCCCCCCTGACGCCTCCCGGGTCGCGTGTGCCGGCAGAGCGTGGAGCTGATGTGTCACCGCGTGGGACAGCTGTGGAGACCGCCCTCCCCCCTGACACCTCCCGGGTCGCGTGTGCCGGCAGAGCGTGGAGCTGATGTGTCGCCGCGTGGGACAGCTCCTGGAAGCGCTGCCGCTCTACTGCTTCCTCACTTCGTTGCCCCAGATCATCTCCCGCATCTGCCACGGCCGGCCGCAGGTGTACGCCCAGATCCGCGACATCCTGGCCGCGCTGCTCGCCACCTACCCCAAACAGTGCATGTGGTACGTGCGCCTGCGCAGGGACGCGGCGTCCCCGGGCGAGCGACACCGGTCTCTTGAAGGCTGTACCTCAAGCGTGTTGTGGGGCCTGGGAAAGATGAGCACTCTCTATGCCGATTGTAACAATTTATTGTTACAGTGAATAGTTTTCAGCGCACTTTAAATGCGGAAGGCAAACAGATGTAAAAAGTTGGAAGATGCGGTGCGTGTTCCAGGTTCTCCAGGTATAATATTTTAAAGCCTCAACGGGAAGGATCTCCGGTGTCTGCAAGTCTTAAAACATATGTTGTTTGTTTGCCAGCATCCCTAGTGTTTCGAGTGTCGTTTGTTGTTATCAGTTGACATGGTGTCATTAATAGCATTGGCGATATCAAAGTAGCATACTGAAGGTCATCCTTCAATCAACTTCATATTTCAAAAAGGACTCGATAAGTTCCCCCCCCCCCCCCGCCCAAATGTGTTAAGCCTAGAGAAAGAATTGGAAGCAAATAGATGTCAGTCCAGATTTTAGGGCTTGCGAACATACCGAGGTTTGCGAGCTGCACGAATGTGTATACATGCATGAATAGTGTCACTGTTAGATTTTGGAATGGTCTAATGCCTAAAACATCTTCCGCAGTCCAGTTACAATGTAGTCGGACACTTCGTTCACCGGCCATTGCTTTCGCCACGTTGGTCGTTTGCAGAGGCTATGCAGTTTCCACGATAACACACCTGCCCAATGCCACGTGACACAGGTGTTCGTCACCCACCATCCAAACGTTCGAAACACCCACCTTGCTGTCCGCCTCCAGCCGCACAACTTCCGTCCTCCGTAAATGCGCCGTCGTCGGGGATCGAACCCACGGCCTCCGTGTGTCCGCCGCCGCAGGTACATGCTGGCCGTGTCCCGCTCGTCCTACCCCATGCGCGTGGAGCGGTGTCAGGACGTGTTCTCGCGAGCCAAAGCCAAGAAGCCCTCGCTGGGCCAGTTCATCTCTGACGCCACCAAGCTGGCCGATAAGCTGATCGACCTGTCGAACAAGCCCGTCGAGAAAAAGGTGGGTGGATTTGGCGGACGGTGGGTGGATTTGTTGGGCTATGGGTGGGTTCGTTGGGTGATCGGTGTATTTAGCGGACGGTGGGTGGGCTTTTGGATCGATAACACGCGGAATGGAAACGTGTGGGCAGTAGGCGGGAGTCTAGAGAGAAGCCGTGTTTGGCTTGCCGGCTGCTTTATCTGCACAAATTCTGGTGTGTCGTATACTGGTGAAGTGCACGCGCGCTGGTGCCGTTGCGTGTCGCATGTGAGAAGATCTGGGCCAGGGCAGAGATTGGCAGGTTTAACGTGGCCAGCAGAACGGTAGCATTAGAAGCCAAGGACTGAACGTAATATGCACCGTTTAACTGCGTCATGTACGCGTGATCTTCACCCCTTTTCCTTTGACCTGTGCCACGTGACCTGCGAGGCCGGGGTGATGCTGAGGTAGGTATGCATGCCAAAGGTGGTTGAATGTCGTTTGTACTTGTACCGATATTCTGTATTGCTGTCTGTGACCTTGACCCCTGACATGGCCCCGTGATATCCAACTCTGACCTCTGACTGCTGAAATATCAACCACATGGTCTCTGTCCCGTATCCCGTGACCTTTACCATGCGCCCGTGACCTTTGACATACACTCCGTGACCTCGGCATGTGCACCGTGACCTTTCACCTGTAACCCGTGACAACGTAACCTTTCACCTGTAACCCGTGACCTGTACCCCGGCCCTCTGACGCATATGCCGCGACCTCTGACCGGTAGACGAGCAAGGTCAGCCTGGCCTCGTTCTTCCCGAGCATCCGCCGTCTGGTGTCGGCGGGATTCTCTCAGATTCTGGTGCCGCTACAGCAGCAGATGACGGTGAGACGTCGCCGCACGATCGAATGATGACGTCATCGTCCCCAGCATAGCATTGATTGAGAACAAATTGACGACCGTTATGTCTAGAAATCGTGTTCGCGGACGCCAGATATGATCGACTCAACAACTATATTGTTGGCTTTTGATCGCCGCATGGCTTATGGAATGGCGGGTTTGAATGACATTATGGCGTTATGGTGCCTGGGTGACCTTGGAACAGGCTCCCCAAAAAAGCCTGCACATCTTCTGACGTTTACTTAGAAACCACGTGGGTTGATGTCGTAAGAAGGATAGGCCTGTGAACTACACCGAATGATCTTCAGGATGGCTGTTTCAGCTCAAAACCCCATACAAACGTGGAACACTCCCTTTAAGCATCATTTCGGTCCTCCACTTCGCGATTCGAAAGGCTGATCTGGGATTGGCAGTTCCTATAACATCAGACTGATATGAATTGACTCACTATGACACACAAAAATTCAACAACACATGTCATTGGCACTGCGAAAGCCTTATCACCCTTGCTTGCGTCAATTCCCCGGCGCGCTGCGGCGAGTCCGGTAAGCTCAGCTAGTCCGTGCGTCCGCCAGGTGACTCTGCCAGAGACGGCGGCGCAGCACGGCTTCGGCTTCCGGCCGTTTCCGGAGGAGCAGGTGTGCATCGCCAGCTTTGAGGACGAGCTGGAGGTGATGCCCTCCCTGGTCAGGCCGAAGAAGATCACCATCCGCGGCACCGATGGCAAGAAGTGGGTGATGACCGTGTTCCTGCCGGTTTTGATTTGTCAGCCGTTCGGGCCGAGTAGCAGCGCAGATCTACACTCAGAACAAGTGTTGCGTTGGTCTGCTCTGTATTATAAATGACGTTGGCAGTCGGTGCCCGTTGGCGTGGGAGACTTCTTGGTGCGGGTCATCCCACCTTTTGTCGCCTCGTTTTGCGCGCTGTTCGTGGCGCACCGAGTTCTGGTCACCAATATTGGCTGTCATATTGTAGCATGTTAGTTAAGGTGGGCTTGTGCATAGTACGCCGCAGTTTTTGAGTACCAATCAGTGCCACGTTCCTATATGTATCGAGTTCAAATCTTAACGACACCTGGCCTTTTACCCGGATCATGGGAGAAATCCCCACTCATGAACCCCCATGCCTGCACGAACGTTTTAACATCACCCACTTGCTCAAAAACTCCTCGACTGGGATTCAAACCGGCGTTGTCAGGTACACGATGATGGCCAAGCCCAAGGACGACCTGCGCAAGGACTCGCGTCTGATGGAGTTCAACACGCTGGTGAACCGGCACCTGACACGGCACGGCGAGGCGCGCGAGCGGAGTCTGCGGATCCGCACCTACACCGTCATCCCGCTCAACGACGAGTGCGGACTGCTGCAGTGGGTGTGTACGCGCTCTGACATGGAGATTAAGTGATGCTTGAGGATGAGTGTGGCCCGCTGTGTCTGGTGCGTACACACTGTGACATCGCGGTAGCGTGTAATACGCTGTTACCTCGTTTGCGGAGCATGAACTGCGACATAGCACGGCCGTGGAGGCTGTTTGACATCGCCTACGGCTGGCTGTTGTGCTGCCGAAGTGATGCGATGCGGCAACCGGTAGACAGTCAATTTGGAGTTTGATTCGCTGCTGGGCGCACCGCGGGCGAGGTAGCCCGCGGTAGGCGGTTTGATACATGACCCACTCTACCCAGTGTTGAGTGTTTAGCTGTAATCGCCGCCTTAAAGACATCACAATACGATTATCACATTGTCAGTCCTGGTGAAAGCGCCGTGCGTGACACATCGAGCACGCACCCCGTGAGCTAGCGCCCAGGGTCTGAACTACTCCGGCGAACGTCCGCTAACCCTTGCTGACCCCTGATGACCTCCCAAGAACCCTGTCATTGGACGCCGTCCTCTGTTATCTCCTGTCGGCAGGCGTAGCCACGGACAACGTCACAGGCTCAATAAGCCTGTTTGTCCTGGAACCCCGCCGACCATATTTGACCGCCAAGTGACCTTGTGCTGACCTCTGATGACCCCTGCTGTCCTCTGGTTACTCCTGCTGAACTCTGATGGCCCCCGCTGACCTCTGATTACCCGTACTGACCTTTGATGACCCCTGCTGAACTATGATGGCCGCTGCTGACCCATGATGACACCTGCTTACCTCTGATGCTCCTTACCGACCTTTGATGACACCTGCTGACCTCTGACCGCCGGCGACAGGTGCCGAACCTGAGCGGTATGCGCCAGGTGCTGCTGAGCCAGTACCGGCAGCGGGGCGGTATGATGACCAACGCCGAGCTGAAGCAGACTGCGGCGCAGCTGGACGACTCGCTGGAGAGGAAGCGGGCGATCTTTACGGAGAAGTTGCTGCCGCGACACCCAGCCGTGCTGGGCGGCTGGCTCCGGGCCACCTTCCCTGACCCGCAAGCCTGGTGAGGGCACACCGTCGTCTGTTGCCTGGTGTGCTGCGCCGCTTTGGGATTGCCTGACTCGGCCGTCCGTCATATGGGTGTGCCATCTCATTGATCTAACTCGCTCGTCAACATCACTCTGCTGTCGTGCTCAGTTGTGTGTCTCAGCTTTCTGTCGTCTGACTTTGCAAATAAGCAGCACCATACTTCTCCACTAGCATTTGTCGTCCTGCATACGACACTACGGTATACCGCGCCACGGAAATGTCCAACGCACGACCGAAGCGTGCCACGGTGATTGTCACGTAATGCCTAACACATCATCAGACTGTTTGACACGTCACCAGACCGGCTGATACATCACCGGACCGCCTATACGTCACGAGACCGTTTGGCACATTACTAGACTGTTTGACATGTCACCAGACCGTCTGACGCATCACCAGACTGTTTGGCATGTCATCAGACCGTCTGACACATCACCATACCGTGTGACACAGCATTAGACCGCCTGATGCGTTAGCAGACTGTGACACGTCACCAGACCGTCTGACACGTCACCAGACCGTCTGACACGTCACCAGGCCGCCTGACACGTCACCAGACCTTGTGACACGTCATTAGACTGTCTGACACGTCACCAGGCCGCCTGGCACGTCACCAGGCCGCCTGACACGTCACCAGACCGTCTGACACGTCACCAGGCCGCCTGACACGTCACCAGGCCGCCTGACACGTCACCAGACCTTGTGACACGTCACCAGACCGTCTGACACGTCACCAGGCCGCCTGACACGTCACCAGACTGTCTGACACGTCACCAGGCCGCCTGACACGTCACCAGACCGCCTGACACGTCACCAGACGGTCTGACACGGTACTGCTCTCTCGTCAGGTACGCGGCCCGTCTCAACTACGCCCGGACGGCCGCTGTGATGTCCATGATCGGCTACATCCTGGGTCTGGGCGACCGCCACGGCGAGAACATACTGCTGGACTCCTCCAGCGGCGACTGCGTCCACGTGGACTTCAACTGCCTCTTCAACAAGGTCAGCGTGTTGGAGGTCGGCGGGCTGTGTAACAGGGCGTCCGTGGTGGAGAGGTCAGGCAGCTTTGCAGTAAAGATGGCTGGTGGAGATAGGACTAGTTTCGGGCGAGATCACAGGCGTGAGAGCAGGGACTTACCTGTACTGTTTGATTATGTCATAAATGTCCCAAGTATGGTCTGTATTTTTAACTAGGGCCGCCGCTTAGGTCGGCGCTAGGTGCGGTACGTGATCAGTGTGACCCCTCTCCCGCTGTGTAACCCCCACCAGTGTGACCCAGCTCCTATGTGACCCCTCTCCCGCTGTGTGACCTTTCTCCCGTTGAGTAACCCGTCCCCCGCTGTGTGACCCCTCTCCTGCTGCATGACACCTCCCCCGCTGTGTGACCATGTCCTGTGTTACCCTACTCCTGTGCGACCCTTCTCCCCTTATGTGGTCCTCTCCAGTATAACCCCTCTCCCCTTGTGTGACACTGTCCTGTGTGATCTTACTCCTGAGTGACCCTTCTCGCATGTGTGACTCCTCCTGTGTCTTCCCCTTCCCCCTGTGTGACCCTCCTTTGTGACCCCTCTCCTGTATGACCCCACACCTATGTGACCTCACTCTTGTGTGACCCCCTCTCCCCATCTATGACTCCTCTCCCCCTGTGTGCCCCCACTCCTGTGTGACCCTATTCCTGTGTGACCCCACTCTTGTGTGACCCCTGTCCCCTCATGTGATCCCCCTCCTGTGTGACCCCACTGCTCTGTGACCCCTCTTCCCCTGTGTGACTGCTCTCCCTCTTGTGTGACCCTTCTCCCCTGTGTGACCCCTCTCCCCTTGTGTGACCCCTCTCCCCCTGTGTGACCCCTCTCCCCCTGTGTGACCCCTCTCCCCCTGTGTGACCCCCTCTCCCCTTGTGTGACCCCTCCTCCCTTGTGTGACCCCTCTCCCCTGTGTGACCCTCCCCCTCTCCCCTGTGTGACCCCTCTCCCCCTGTGTGACCCCCTTCCCCCTGTGTGACCCTCTCCCCTTGTGTGACCCTCTCCCCTTGGTGACCCCTCTCCCCTTGTGTGACAGCTATCCCCTTGTGTGACCCCTCTCCCCTTGTGGACCCCTCTCCCCCTATGACCATCTGCTGTGTGACCCTTCTCCCCCATGTGATCTCTCCCCATGTAACCCCTCCCTACGTGACCACTCCCCTCCCCCATGTGACTCCCTCTTTCGCGCGTGACTCCCCTCTGTGTGATCACTCTCCCCCATGTGACTTCCCCCTGTGTGACCACACTCTCCCATGTGACTTCCCCCTGTGTGACTGCTCTCCCCCATATGACCCTTTTTCTTTCTCTGTGCCCAGGGGGAGCTGTTTGACTGGCCGGAGCGGGTGCCGTTCCGCCTGACCCACAACATGGTGGACGCTCTCGGACCGACGGGTGTCGAGGGGGTGAGCGTGTGAGGGGAGGGGCGCCGACCGCGCTCTGACGTGGCTTACAGGGTTCAGACCAGGCTGGCAGTGCGTGGGAAGTGTGGCACGGTGTACTGACGGTTAGCTAGCTCACAGTTCTATAAAAAAAACAACGTACTAGAGCTGGCGTCTGTAACCTTTCGAGTTTACCGGGCTAGGCTTTGATATCTGGACTATGCTAGCTGTAGTTCTGACCGTGCCGCGGCGTGTTGCCAGCTGTAGTTCTGACTGTGCCGTGGTGTGTCGCTAGCTGTAGTTCTGACCGTGCGTTGGTGCGTTGCCAGGTGTACCGGACGGCCTGCGAGGTCACCATGTCCGTGATGCGCCAGCAGCAGGACGCGCTGATGTGCGTGCTGCGCCCGTTCGTGCACGACCCCCTGGTGGAGTGGAGCAAACAGGAGCGCAAGACCAGGGACGTCGGCGAGATCGTCAACGAAAAGGTCCTTTTTTGGCCAGCGGGCGGAGGCCCCCGATGCCGCGCCGTTTGTTCGTTTCATTAGAGAATGCGTCGTAGGCCCCGGTGACTGTTGATGGAAAGTTCTCAGTTCATGCGACCGTATCACTGAAAGCGCATTTGTAACCGAGCCTAGGTATGTTTCATAGTCCCATCTTACTTGCACCACGAAGACAGTCACCGTGCATGTGGTTGGTGACCCGTGATCATGACATATGGTCATTGTATGCCTGTGACCGTGCCATACAGTGACCGGAGTGTGATTACTAAACTCCGTAGCCTAACTCCGTGCGGCCGGTAGCCCCATGTTTACGCTACCGAGCGGCGTCGTATGCGCACTGACTGGTGGCGCCTCTGGCGGCAGGCTCAAGCGCACGTGGGAGACATCGAGCAGCGGCTGCGGGGGCAGGTGCGCTCGAAGCTGAAGCCGGTGCCGATCCCGCTGTCGGTGGCGGGTCAGGTCAACTACCTGATCGAGGAGGCCACCAGCGTCGACAACCTCTGTCAGATGTACATCGGCTGGGCGGCTCACTTCTGAACGCTCTCGCTCTCGGACCGGGCCCGCGCTCCCAGACGGGGCCCGCGCTCCCAGACCGGGCCCACGCTCCCAGACGGGGCCCGCGCTCCCAGACCGGGCCCACGCTCTCGGAGCGGGCCGCGCTCCCAGACCGGGCCCGCGCTCCCAGACCGGGCCCGCGCTCCCAGACCGGGCCCGCGCTCCCTGACCGGGCCGCCGGCTGGTCTGCGCCGGCCGCTTCTCGGTCGACTGCAGTTCTGAATCCGAGAACGTGTCGGCTGAGTGGGCACCTTTGGACGGCAACGTCGTCGGGTTTTTGGCGCCTGTGATCTTCAGCTTGTCAATGTGCGTGTTCGTGGTGTCCTTGTTTTGTGCAGGGGATGTATAGTTGCCGGGAAAGCTGAGCCGTTTAGACACCGTCGATACTCCGCGGATCGTCGGTTGGTTTCTGCGATCCTTGTTATTGTGGCTGTTGCGTTATCCTACCGACGCATTAGTCGATACTGACGTGAGAAGGAGAACGCGTTATTTATGCACACCGTTCGTGCTGGTGTCTGCTGTTGCCTTCGCTGCGTTTTCTGAGCCATGTTGGATAGCTGGTTGGGATTTGGAAGGTTCTTTTTTGGTTCAGTGGGAGATTTGTTTTGCCGCGTGTGTGGGTCGTCTGGTGCGCTCTTGTCCAGTGGGTGCTAATGGACGCGTGTCGAAAGACGCATTTTCGCCGAATACAACTTCGACCGGCATTTGGCCCTTTGCATGTTACCCTGCAACACGAGGTCTTCCCGAGGCCTACTGACCAACGCTGTTTGGGGTCCAGGATTTCTTGGATTCATCGCCACCTAGATGAGTTCAGTTATATGCACCACCTACGTGACAGACCTCATACAAGCACTAATCCCATTGGATGTTTTGCAGCGCGTGCTATGTAAAGATAGACATCACACAGCGAGGACAGGTGCATTGTTGGTAGTGCGGTCCTTGCAAATGTCACGTGCTCGTGACATCCCTCCTGGGGTCGTGCAATGCCCCCACGTTGAACTATGCAGATGCTGGAATATCCGCCCGTGTCAAAGATTGCGTCGAAATCGGAGCTTCTCCTACGGCGGCTGCTACCGGTGTGAGCGCACCATGTTGCAACGCTTGTAAGGGCTTCGGAGAATTCGCATCAAAGAGAGGATGCAGGCAGTCATACTTGTAAGCAGGCGGTATCCAAATCCATACCGGTAAGCGCCGCTGCAGCTGTGGCGGTAACCAGTTGTGGTCTACACGTAGTTAACTAGTACCGGGTGATAAACTGGCGAAGACAAGCGCAAAAGCAAACTATGGACGGTTTCGATAACGTGTGGGGAGCGCGAGGTGAGTTTGATCGTGGTTTGAACTTCTTGAAACAGGAAGTCCTCTGTGCCATCCCATCGAGGGGATCGTCATCCGACGTCGCCCCCCCCCCCTCCCCCCCCCCCTCTTCAGGTTTGGCTCGAGGTACAGATGGCGGTAGAAAGTTGTTTTCCTGAGACATGTATACGGCGAATGGAAACGCTCCCGGCGCGCCGGCGATTTTCACCAACCGCGGCAGGCCATGGCGCACAAGTGAAGCATGGACGTCAAAGAGATGTCCAAAGAAGATGAACAGCTCCACCTGGGTCCGAGCCACCATGCGTCACAACACAACCACTGTCAAACATTCGCCCAGTCATAGCACATGAACAATGAGCGTTGCGGGAGATTACTTCCCGCATTATTTCACAACCCCTCGTTCAACATTGCTTAATGTCATTGCTCAGCTCTGCACAGCACCAAATGTACTTCGCGTGAAAACGTCACCAACGAACCTCACTGACTTCACGGGCTCACGCGGCCCTGGCGCTCACAGATACGGGTTTGTACTTGCTGACCACCGCTGCATAGCTTCCCATCTGGTCCGCGCCATCAGCACAGCTGCAGCTGCAGGGCCGATATGTACTCCATGGCCATCTGGAGCGTCTCGTGCTTGGAGAGCTGCGACTCGCTGCCCTGCGGCAGGTGGTGCCGCAGCAGGTCGAACGCCTCGTTGAGCCGCTGCATGCGTCGCCGCTCGCGGCAGTTGGCGCCCTCCCGGCGCCGACGCCATACCGCCTCGCTGGCCGGCGCGCGCCGCTTCTTCTTCGGTGGCGGCGCCTCGGCTTCGACCGCGGCCAGCGCTCTCAGCCAGGGGCGCGCGCAGGCGGAGGTGGCCGCAGCGATGGTTTGTGGTCTGGGGGACGGGCTGGGGCCTGCAGCCGGATCAGCTTCGGTCCCTGAAGCACAGGTGGTCAAAGTCAGTCTCCTCACAGCGTAGCAATGTGATGCATCTTATTTCCTGTGAAAAAGATCACGATCTCTGAAAGAGAGATGGAGCCTATCGCGCTACGGGAGCGCTTGCTTACGAATAAAACCGCAGGTGGGGCAAGCCTTGCTTGACCCATGACAGCCTATCCAGTTTAAGCTGCCTCGAACGGCCGTCAACCTATCTGGGAGTCAGAATAGTCACAGCCCCCGATCTCAGCTACACGACTTTCAGTACCAACGAACAGTTCGACAAAAGTTGTGGTGTGTAAGTTGTCTGCTATTCGCATGCGAGCTGATCCATCAGGTGTTTTCTCACTGAGCATTGCACTATAACATTGTACTATCTCGATGAAAGGCCTGAAGAACATGTGGAAACTGGGGCCAGATGTCGATGCAACAGCGCTGCGGCGGCATGGGATGAGTTCATTCCAACCCAGGGGAAAACGGGTGAACGCACTGACAGGCCCAAGGGAGAACGGGAGGACGTACTGACAGACCCAGGGGAGAACGAGCGGGCGTACTGACAGACCCAGGGGAGAACGAGCGGACGTACTGACAGACCCAAAGGAGAACGGACGGACGTACTGACAGATGCAGGTAGAACGGGCGGACGTACTGACAGACCCAGGGGAGAACGGGCGGACGTACTGACAGACCCCGGGGAGAACGGACGGACGTACTGACAGACGCAGAGGAGAACGGACGGACGTCGTACTGACAGACCCAGGGGAGAACGGGCGGACGCGCGGACAGCAGTGTGAGTCTAGGGCGAACCCGTCGGCACCCGCGTGTCAACTTTGGACCTTCCGGTTTGTGACATTTTTATTGATGTGAAGTATCGGCAACGACAACCCACAACGACGTGAAATCTGCGATGTGCAAATTTCGGCTTTTCAATTTGCATCTCTGTTTTTTTCAAAAAACTTATTCAGCCTATACGTAATGCACTTAAAAACTCCCCGACCAAAATGTGCGTCGACCATCGAGTTTAAAGCATCTAATGCCATTTTTTCCAAAGCCAATTTTGAATGCGAGTCGTTATCATCCAAAGCAAAGGAGAGATAGAATCATCACAAAATTTGCAGGCGTTTAGTCCCACTTATCGCGACAAATTGGACCAGGAGGACAAACAGACCAGCGGACAGAGCGATGGACACAGACAGACAGGCAAACAGACAGACGGACAAACAGACAGGCAGACGCAGGGACAGCAAGGCACTGAAACAGATAGATACAGGGACAGAAAGACACAAAGGTACAGGAACAGACCGAGGTAGGGACAGAAGAGCAGACGGTCGGGTAGATAGGTGTAAGACGGATCCGGTAGATTAAAAAACGTAAAACATGTCAAGCCTCATTTTGTTCAATTTCATTGACCGTCTTAATTACACCTACTGCAATGTCAACAAAATGGGTTTTGCAAATATCTTGCAGCTATAGCTTGTGCCTGCAATACTCCACCAACCTGTGTAACTGGTGCTGAAGATGGCTGGCTTAGTGACCTCCGTCTCGGGCTCATCCTTGATAACAAATGTCACTGCACCTGTTGATTTCTCGAGTGATGCCCTGCGGTATTCAACGTTCTGGTCACGTGCTACCACATGTACGATCTCCAGCAGTGGTATCCTGGTCTGCCGGAGATTGTCTTCTGTGTTTACAGTCTCCTGCAGTGGTACCCTGGCGTTCTGGCCGCTATTATCTAGCACAGTGTTCAGCAGTGGTACCCTTGAGTGCCGGTCACTTTCCTTCAGTACAGTCTCCAGCAATGGCACTCTGGACTTCCGGTCACCGTCCTGCAGTACAGTCTCCAGCAGTGGCACTATAGAGCACTGGTCGTTACCCTCCATCTCTGCACCATCGTCCAGACCGCCTGCCACCACCCACGTCATTGCAGCGCCCCTACGCCTCAGCCGCGTCGGGCCAGCTGGCAACTGTCAGTTCGATGCCTCCGTGCACCACTCGGCAGCTTCGGGGCTACCCTGCTGCGTCACCCAGACAGACAAAACTCCACCTGTATCACCGAAACCCTGGTCCGCACTAGTGCTCTGCGGGGGCTGGCGTAGAGGGTTTTCCTGCGGGGAGCCCTTCCGGACGCAGGAACTGGTTCCTGATTGGTCCGCGGGAGGATGGGGGCGGAGCCGGAAAGCATGTGGGGCTCAGCGTGTTTCCGTGGGGCAAAATCTGAGGGGGGGGCTGAAAACAGGGCCGCTGCCTTTTGTTTAATTGCCCCCCCCCCCCCCCCCCTCTCCCCCCGCCCGCCTCCCTCCAACTGCGATTTCGGTTTAAGAGGACAGCCTTGTGAGAGGCCCTTTGCCTACAATGTGAGCCGTGTTAAAGATGTAGGCGGGGTTATCCAGTCTGGCAGTGAAGTTCAACCAAGACGTCTTAGCGAACTCCGTAAAAGATTGTTTCACTCCCCCTCTGCCTCCACGCACACAGATACATACACAATGCATGATTACAATTGGTCGTCCTCACCATTTGGTGATGATGGGGTGTTACCAAGTATGGACTGACAGTCCCAGTTTGTTTAAACACTTAAGATCCTGGGACTGACTGAATGTATTCCTCTCAAACGTTTGCGAGCGCTGGAGCGGCAAGAAAATATGCAAACCCTCGATGAACAGTCTTGTCATTTGCCAGTGGCTTGTGACAATTGTAATGTTTCCATGGATTGAGAAAAGTTCAAAAAAGACAACAAGGAAGCAAGAGACAAGTAACAGGGAAATCAAGCTCTTGGTTTTGAAATTGAGTTTTCATGCTGAGAATAACCAGCTTTCAATGTACCATGAGACACTGGTCAAATGAAAATAGTAACATCAATGGATTCTCCTGACCAGAAGATCCC